CCTCTCGATCCTCCATCGACTATTTTGTTGTTTCGAACGTGCTCAAGCCTTTCGTTGACTGTTGCTCTGTGGCGACTTGGTCGACTTGCACGCGGCCGCACCGCCCAGTCGTTCTGAGGATGAGTGGCAGCCCCGGGCAGGTGATGGCACCCAGGCTGAAGACACCGCCGGCCCTCCCTTTACACAACCCTATTGGGTACGACCCTAGACCACTGGATTGGGAAGATCTTTCGGAGGTTTTCAAGAACGGCATGTGTTCGACATATACTTTGGATACTGTCACCTCCCAGTGGGTTCAGAGGGCGGAGCTTACCCCAGTTCTCCAAGTAGATGGTGGTCCTCGATATTGAGGTCGAGGAGCCCCCCCCCCGAAAGGTAGTCCAGGTCCCCCTGCTAGGCCCACCTGCATCTACCCATGCCAGGGCCATCGGGGAAGGTAGGATGTGGCGGGTGCTCGAGAGACGGCTCCAAGACATCATGTTTCTCTGGCATGGGCATCGGCCCGCCTTGGGGGGGCTACAGCAAGCTGGGTGCATCTTGAGGAAGCTGCCGAACTATGTGTCCCCGTTCACTGATTGTAAGCACTGGGTATCTTGGAGGCTTCGTATCTTGGCGGTCAACCCAGCAATCGTCTCTGAGCTCAATGAGCTTATGGCAGGTCCGTAAGTGGGCCCAAGGACATGAGCATCACGCGGCCTCGGGGCCGGCCAGAGCTTGGCGAGAATGGGTGGCTGAGGCGCTTACTGGCGGGGCGCGTCTTGGGCACAGGTACACCAAGGAGGTTCCTAAGTGGGCTGCGTATGGACTCTCGCGGTTCTCGGGGCCCTCGGGAGCCCCTCTGGGAGTCTTGGCTGAAGCTGAAGCCCGAGCTCAAAACTGGCACAAGCATTGGGGTGTAGGACAAGTCTTTCCTGATCCTGATTTCAGCTGGTGTGGCGATGAACCTGAGCTCGAGCCCCCGTCGCACGAGGAGCTCCTTGCCCTTACTAGGGCCTACAGTACGCATACTGCTGCGGGTGCATGTGGCCTTCGTCCTCGTCGTTGGTCGTTCCTGGACGGAGGCGCAGTGGCGGTTTTCCTGTGCATCTGGGAGCAAATGCAGCGGCTATTCCACGTGCCCAGGTGTTGGGCTTTGCTGCTCGTCGCTCTCCTGCCCAAGCCGCCGCCAGATGGATGGGGATCGGCCGATTGGTGTCTTCCCGTCGCCGTTAAGGATGTCGCCCCGATGGGCCCGCTGGAAAGTCGCTGGCCCCTGGGAACTCGAACGCCCTCGGAGTTACTGGTTTGGAGATTCTGGGGCTTCCTGTGATATATGCGTTTGGAAGCAGAGTCTCAAGGCGGAGCTGGTTAGGGACCAGGGCAAAGCAGCGGGGTCTAAGCTTTTGGATTTGGTCAAAGCGTACGAACATGTGCCTCATCATGTGCTTGCTGCTGCTGCTGCCCGTCGACAGAAGTTTTCTGGGGGGAATTTACGGTTCCTTTTAGTCACGTACAGCCTGGACCGGATGGTCCTGTTCGAGATGATTGCCACCGAGATTGTCCCGACTAATCGCACGATCGTCGCCGGCTGTAGTTGTGCGACTTCTTTGTGTGCTCCTCTCCCCTGCTGATGCCGTTGTTCTGCGATATGTGTTCGTTGACCTAGCGATTGTGGTTGATGATCTTCAGCTTCAAAGGGTTGGGGATGCTTGGGGAGTCGCTCACGATCTCAAGGGTGCCGAGGACCTTCTTACTTCCGAGTTGCTCAAGATAGGGCTCGCCATCTCGCTCCCCGAAAAGCACCAGACGGTCGTGGGTCAGAACATCCGTCGCGTCGTTCGGAAGGCCGACCCGTCGTCGGCTAAGTTCTTGACCAGATCGGTACGTAATTTGGGACTTGATTTTGGGGGTGGCCATCGTGTCTTTTATGCTGTTCGGGCTCAGCGGTGGGGCACAAATTCGCCCAGGGTTCCTCGGTATAGGCGTATGGCTACAAGTTGGCCCAGACGGGCCTGAAGCCAGGGGTGCTATGGGGTGTCGGAGTGCATGGAATCAGTAACACACACACACACACACTTGTTGAGGGCAAGGCAGATCGCTCGAGCTGGTTTGGTGCACAGGCATACTGGCAGGCCCCTCTCCCTCGATCTCATGATTGCAGGCCGCCAGGTTGACCCAGCCTACGAGTGCAACCGTGGGCCAATCTTCTTCTGGCTGCAGGCGCTGTGGGATGGATCGGCTTCGTCATCTGATATGGCTCGACTTCTGTGCGGGGCTTGGGCTTGTCTGTCGGCTCTCCCCGAAAACAGGGTTTGGTCCGACATTCGTGGGCCCGCTTCGGCCCTTGTGGGCTCCATGATGCGTCTCGGCTGGAAGTTGTTGGGCCCTTTTCGCCGGCAGACCCATCGAGGCCCCATTTTCGTCGAAATCGCCGCGAGATGGGGGCAGGTTGGCAGGTGAAGCTACAGAGCGCTGGGTGTGGCAGCAAGTTTTAGCTAAGCATTCGTCTTGGGCCTCACTGTGTCCTCATCATCCTATCCTGGAGCCTTTGAGGTCCCTCCCCCTCTGCTCTTCGCTCAAAGGCCCCGGCTGGACCCCTAGGCACCAAGGGCTCCTTAAGTGCCTTTTTGCGGGTGGTTGCTTGTCCCAAGACAGGCTCTATGAAGCTGGCGGAGCGGTCAATCCAGAGTGCCTCGCGTGGAAGACTGTTGGCTCCACATGGCGCCGCTTTTATGATTGCCCTGTGCATGCTGAGTACCGTCGCGAGTATAAGGCTGGCTGTGCGATGGCCAGTCAGATGCTGGAGTTGGCTACGTCTACAGCTGACCTCTAGCTTATTTGGACCAGGTTCCTGGTCCCTGACCCGCCCTGGCTTTTTCCGAGCCCGTGCCTTGAGGAGCGAGTGGTGTGGACCCTGAGGTCGCCCGATTTGCTGCTCGATGTGCGTGTGTTTGGAGATGGCTCGGGCGTGCATGGGCGATTTAGTCGCCTCAGGAGATGTGGGTGGGGTCTGTGCTCGCTCGATTCCCAGTGGAAGGAAGTCGCTAGAATGCATGGACCGCTGCCCACGCTGTTCCAGACTGCGCCCGTTGTTGAGTTGTTTAGTTTCCTCGTGGCCCTTCGGTGCATGGGAGCGCAATTTAAGTTTTTCACCGACTGCAAGCCACTCGTTGATGTTTGGCGCCAGGGGTCTGGCGCTGGCACGGCTGCCGGCGACCCTTTGGCTTACTTGTGGAGGGAGGTTTGGAGTCTGGTGTCGGGCCGTGGGGTGGAGGCGGTGGAGGTTACTTATGTGAAAGCGCACTCGCCTTCCTCTGCTGTTGCGGATGATGCGTTCACTTCTTGGCAGCGGTTCGGCAACTCTAAGGCCGACGCTTCGGCCAAGCGCGGTGCTGCTATGCATCCCGATGCTGAGCCGTTGCGAGCAGCGCACCGTGTTTCGCGCAGTGCGATCAAGGTGGTCGCCCAGTTCTGCACGCGCGTTGCCTCGAGGATAGGCTCGGTCACCCCACTAGATGCGCAGGCTCAGGCGCTTGGCAGGGCGATCGTCACCATTGAGGGAGGACTCGGCCCGCCGAGGTCGCACTCTCGCTTTGACCCCGCGATCGCGTATTGCGAGCGCCGCTATCGATGCATGATCTGTCTTCGGCCGGCGAAGTCCCGACTGATACTTCGCCAGCTCAAGTGCCAGGACACAGCTGGCATGCACGCTCTCCATCGGACGGGACGTTCTGCTCACTGTACGGCGCCTATTCGGAGAAACGCAGCCAGGGACTTTCGGTAGAGTGCATGCCGAGGCAACGTCGGCTCGGCACTCAGGTGAAGGACTCTCGATTTGATCTCCTTCAGAATCTGCTGAAGGGTTGCAACCCCAACAAGTCGAGCTTGTTTCTAGGCCTTCCTATTTTGCTGCGGAAGAGTAGGTCCTGCGAGACGGCTAGCATGCCGCCGCTTCCCTCTCTCCCTGAGACCTCTGGGGCGGGGAGTGGGTCGGGAGTGGGGGCGGGGTGGGCGGGGCAGGAGCACTCTCTTATTCCTGTTTCCCAGGCTGTGTCGGCCTTGTGGGAGGACCTGGTTGGCTTCTCTGATGCCAGCGAGTCGGATGACGAAGACGACCCTTCCTTCCCGCGTAGCGAGGAGTTGGGTCGAATAGCGTCTCCTTCGTTGGCCCGTGGGTTTTTATATGCAGGCTGGTACGCGTGCGGTTGGTCTTTGTCAGGTCAAACAAACAGTAATAGTTATATGACGAGGAGGAGGAGAGCGAGGAGGAAGAGGAGGAAGAGGAGGAAGCGGAGGCGGAGGCGGAGGAGGAGGAGGAAGAGGAGGAGAAGGAGGAGGATGAGGAGGACGAGGACGAGGACGAGGAGCAGGAGCAGGAGCAGGAGCAGGAGCAGGAAAAGGAGGCGAAGGAGGAGGAGGAGGATGAGAAGGAGGAGGCGGAGGACCTCCCCATCCTCCGTTCTCCTCCGCCCCGAAAAACCCGTCCTACATTCGGTCGTGGGGGCGGGAAATCGGCCCATAAGTTGCTGCCACCATTGCCATAGCGCTCGGCCCCTTTTAGCCGAAAGGGTGCGCGACACGAAAAAAAGGTGCCCGAATACCCAATACCCGAACATGTGTCCGGAATGGGAAAATGTGTTCGAAGTTGCGACAGAAGAAAGATGACCAGGCTCGTGGCCGAAGCTGAAATCTTTTTGGTTTCGAACCAAGAACTTCGGTCACACTTCTGGCGGATTCGGTTGAATTCGGGCGCCGGTTTCGGTCGTACACGGGCAGATGTTCGGGCACAGCTTCCGTCACTACACCCACATTGTAGAGACGAGGCTGCGATACCATTGGTCTGCCGCTGTCCGTTAGAGAAGACAAGCATACCGACACCGACGCCCCTCCTTTGTTCTCGCCTCTTTGGGCCCCCCTGGGTTGCAAAGTCGCCACTGCTGGGATCGTCTGGGGCTCTTGGCCAGCAGGCGCAGTACCGATATCATTAATGTTCGTGTGTATTCGCAACCGCCGCCGTCACCAGCTGTGCCGCCGTCGTCAGCTTCCACCACCTCCACGCCACTCTTGAGCCACGGGGGCTGCCCGATGAAACCGCCCTGCCGGTGCGCGACGAGGTGGGCAGCCCACCTGGCAGCTCGACCAGTTGCTGGCGGGGCGCGGTGGTCGGGGCCTTGCGGCAAAAAAAAATCAAACCCAGGACGGCAGGCAGCAGGCAGCAGTGGTTGGAGGCTTGTGCGACACCACCGTGTTGGGTTGCAGGAGAGGTCGGAGGGTAGTGGCGGGCTGCCAGAAAGGGGCCCTGGCGAGTGCCCGAGGGGGAGCCCTGGATGATCCTATCGACTGCACCCAGCTAGGGTCGCTGTCGTCATCCCCAGTGGTTCTCTTAGGCTCGAGCCGTGGCCGAGGAACAGCTGGAAGTCGGGGGGGGCAGCTCGCCTGGTTGGGTAGGTCCAGGGGAGGCTTTGGGGTATGACAGGAGGTGGCTATCCATTTGTGCTCTTTCCCTGGGGGCCTCTTGGCCTCTTAGAGGCCTCTTGAGTTCTTTGGGAAGCCTCTCGGGGTCTTCCCAAGCCTCTCGGGGGCCTGTTGAAGGCATCTTTGGGTCTCTTGGGAGCGTCTGGTGGGCCTCTGGGGGGAGTTTTGGGGCCATCTGTGGGCAAAAGAACCGAAAGCCCCTTCGCGCTTCCACTCTTGGGCCCCTGTAGGGGGACTGGGGGGCCCTCTTGGGACGCTCTTGGAGGCCTCTTGGGCTGTCGTGGACACACTTTAAGACCGAAAAGGCGGTCATGTCAAAATTACATGAAATCTGAATGGCTGCGAAGTGTGAAATTGTTGGGATCCTGGGAGGTCGTGTGGAGTGGAGTTTCACGGGGATCCACTTGAGATCCATGGTTCATTGGGGAGGCTGCGACGTGTGAAACTGTCGCCATTTCTCGTGGGCTCCTGGGGGGTCGTGTGGAGTGAAGTTTCACGAGATTCCAGTTGAGACCTCGCGGCTCCCTGGCGCGAACTTCAACAACTCACAGCAGGAAGCAGAAAGCAGGACTGTAACATTGGAGATTTGAAGCTGCAACTGGTGCAGGGAGCAACACACTTCGGCCTACAGCTTGGCGGCCCGCAAAGGGGCCGACTGATCATTTTGCCCCCGCTCGTTTCTGTCATCGTTGCCGTTTTCCCGTTCATGATAAGTTCTGTTCCCCCTTCCTCCCCCCGCACGCCATACTCGCCTGATCGTATTTTCCACCCATACGTTCGGTATGACGAGCATACAACAATACACTACACATCTGTTTATTGTTTCGCCGCGCGCCCACCATTTGGTATCCAGTTTTGGTATGGGTTGGTCGGTGGGGATACCCCAAAACGGATGTGTGTTCCCTTCTGGTTTCTTCGTCGGAGTACCTTGGAATATCCACAAACACGCGAAGGTAACAATGCTTCGCGCTTGGTGGCTTGGAGCGGTCATTCGACCTTATCCAGAGGGCCGCGCGAGAGCGTTAGGGTAATTAGAGCGACGCTTCCGTGCAACAGCGCAGCGCGTCGCGCGCGTGGCCTTGGCCAGAGAGCCGCGGCGCAACGGCTACCAACCGCAGAGGGCACCCGTGCACCGCCACCGCGCCTGGCCAGGGCCCAGGGCGGCCTTGCGCAGGCACGGTGGCGGAGGTGTGCGGGGGCCCTCCGCGCCGCGGTGCCGCAGGCGGTGCAGCGCCGCCACCGCGCCCGCGTCGCCCTCCGAGCCCGCGGCCGCGGGCGGCCTGGACGCGGAGCGCCTGGCCTTGAGACTGCGGCTCGGGAGCGGCTGGCGGGAGCAGGTCGGCCGCGCCGCAGGTGCGCCCACGAGGAGAGGAGGAGGAGGAGGAGGAGGAGGAGGAGGAGGAAAACCACTGTAAACGTAAGGCCTCATCAGCGATGTTGGAATAAACCCTTCCTCCAAGCTCCCCTATCATAGGCCCCATACAAGGGTTCATTTCCACTCAGGAACGTGCCCCGTCTTGATACAACCGTTTGAAGATCCGGAAGCGCTCGAAGATACAATTCTCGGGACTCCAACCCCACGAATCAACCGGACTGCTGCGCCTTTACGATCCTGAATCGTGCCAGTCTTAACCATGGTAATCCCCGAAAATGCGCGGCGCTAAGGCGGGAGCCACATTTTGAAAGGAGCCGCCCTCAATCCGTGAAACCCTTACAGTTTTTAAGACGAGTGTGCGCGGCGTTAGTGCGAGAGTCACATTTTGGAAGCAGCCCGCCGCCCATCTGTGGAAACAGTCGCCAATTTCAAAGCTTCAGGAGGATCAGTGGTAAGGCAGGCGAAACGCCCAGTCCGTCCTTCCGATTGGCCTCGGGGTGCGACAGGGGGGAGTTTTTTGATAAGGACAAAGAATGGAGGACGTGCGCGAGCAGTGCTCCATGGGGGGGCGGGGGGGGGGACAGGCCCGCCGAGCCCCCTCGCAACCGAGGCGACGTGCGGGCCGTGCTCTCGTTGCTGGTGGACCGGGGGCGCCTGGAGCCGAACCCGGGGCAGGCGCCGCGCGGGCAGGGGCGAGTAGCCTCCCGTTGTGTCTTTTTTGGGCGGGCTGGGGTTCATTACCATCATCATCATCATCATCATCATCATCAGCATCACCATCATCATCATCATCATCATCATCATCATCACCATCATCATCACCCACCATCATCATCACGTTGGAATCATTACCGTCATCATCAACATGAACATCATCATCATCATCATCATCATCATCATCATCATCACAATCATCACCATCACCACACTTACCATCACCATCATCACCACCATCATCATCATCGTGAGTTAGCATCATCATCATCACCACCATCACCACCATTCCCACCACCATCATCATCACCACCATCACCATCAGCACCTTCAAGATCACCATCATCATCATCATCATCATGGTCATCGGCGTCAGCATAAACATCATGATCATCATCACCCTAATCATCATCACCATCATCATCACCGTCATCATTACCTTGTTTTTTCATTACCGTCATCATCAACACGACCATCATCATCACCATCATCATCGTAATCAACATCACCACCATTACCATTACCACCATCATCAGCACCATCATCATCATCATCATCATCATCATCATCATCGTAATCACCATCAGCATCACCACCATCATCATCAGCAACAGCGTCATCAACATCACGATCAGCATCGGCATCAGCATCAACACCATCATCATTATCATCATCATCACAACCATCCTCATCATCATTTATCACGTTTGCCTCATCACGGCATCGTCATCAGCATCATCATCAGTATTTCCACCATCACCACCATTACCATCACCACCATCATCACCATTACCATCACCACCATCATCATCATCACCATCACCATCATCAGCATCATCATCACCAGCATCATCACCACCGTTGCCATTATCACAACCAACGTCATCATCAGCATCATCAACATCATCATCATCGACATTAGCATCAACGTCATCACCATCATCATCATCACGTTGTCATCATTACCTTCACCATCATCATGCCCATCATCATCATCATCTCCAGCATCAGCACCATCACCACCATTACTATTGCCACCATCATCATTACCACCATCACCATCATCGTCATCATTATTATCATCATCATGAGCATCATCACCGCACTCATCACCATCACCACCATCATCTTCAGCAGCAGCATCAACATCATCAGCAGCGTCAGCATCAGCATCATCAGCACCACCATCATCATCACCATCGTCACCATCATCATCATCATCATCATCATCATCATCTTCATCTTCATCTTCATCTTCGTACCAGTCGCACGCATCATTCTATCATTACCATCATCATCACCATCAGCATCATCACCATCACCATCATTATCATCACCACAATCATCACCACCACCATCATCACCATCGTCATCATTAGCATCATTATTTCAGCATCATCACACTCATCATCATCACCACCATCATCAGCAGCAGAAGCGCCATCAACATCATCATAGTCATCATCAGCATTATCGGCATCAGCATCAACATGTTCATCATCACCATCACCATCATCACCATCCCCGCCGTCTTCATCATCATCGTTGTCATCATTACAGTCATCATCAACATGACCATCATCATCATCATTTTCATACCGGGCCCTGTGGTCGCCGCAAACCGCGGCGCTCGTCAGGGCTGTCGGCTCGGCGCGGTGTGCGTCAACATAGCCTACGAGCTGGCCCTCAAGAGAGTGCGGCACATAATCCAGGAGAGCGGCATCCAGCTCAGCATTAAGATGTCCACGCACGCCTCCGTGCCCTGGTCAACTGATTTCGACAGCAGCCCCGATCACGTCACTTTGCAGCAGGCTCCCAACGACGAGCAATATGTTGACCACGTCACATTCGAGTTCCTGGCCGACTCCCCTCAGGAGTTGCTCGCCCAGGTTGACCCGGCAGTGGACATCATCACCGAAGAGTTCCGCAGGGTCGGCTTCGTGATCGACGTGGGACCTGGGAAATCTGCGATCATGGCGCGGATGTACGGCCAGGGCTCCCGTACGACCTTGAGGACACGTTTCCTCTCCATGGGGCGGTCGGTCTATCGATCACCTCAGGACTAGAGCTCGAAGTTGTACATGATTTCCCGCACTTCGGCACAACTGCAAGCGTCTGGTCGGCACATCTTGGATGCCAAGCAAAAGACGTCCAAGGCCCAGCAAACCTACGCCCCCCTAGCGGTGCGCATTTTTGGATGCAACTCCTTACGGTGCTCCACGCGATCGACTTTAGCTACAAGCTTGTTTTTTTTTTTCGAAGAGTCACTACGGCATGTCAGCCTGGCGTGGAGACGACCCTCAAGCCGTGGCCAGTTTGAATGGCCACTACCATCGTGTCCTCAGGAGGATCTCGGGCGACATGCGCTACGGGGCCCCTGACACGGCCACCGACGAGGAGGTCCTGGAGAAGGTGCACGCCCCGCTCCTCGCGTCGATGGCCCGGAGGCTCTCCCAGCTTGCATCCCACTTCACGGCAGCGCCAAAGGTAGTCCAGATGATGGTCGAGGCTCTCCCGAAGCCCCCGTCGGCGCAGATGCTGCTCTGCGACCTCGAGCAGTTCGCGGTGACTTTCCCCGACGTGGGGCAGAAGCTCGGCTCGCCCTCCGCACGCCTGGAGAAGTGGAAGGCATACATCGTCGAATCCCCTCGGCGCTGGAAGAGCCAAGCCGCCCTGATGAAGTGGTGGATCCCTGACCGGCCAGACCTGCCGGCCACGCGCAGGCTGAGGGGGAAGCAGACCCCTCCCCCTCCGGCTGCCTCGGCCAAGCCTCTCCTCATTTGCCCCGCCTGCGGCAAGCAGTGCAAGGGTTCGCAAGGCTTGGCCGCGCATTTGAGACACAAGCACGGCAGGAAAATGACTGCTCGTAGTTTCTGCGTTGGATCAGTGTGCCCAGCCTGTGGTGTAAATTACCACACGCGCCCTAGGGCGTTGCACCACTTACACTTCCCTTCCAAAGCGTGTCGCGCCGCGTTGCTCGCAGGAGATCTGCCCGAGTGTAGCGCGGAGGAGATATCCGCCGCGGATTTGCGCGACCGCATCGCGCAGAAGGCCGCTAACCTTCGCGGCGACATCTGGGCGCGCGCACTAGCCCCGCCCTCGCGCGGCCCTGGCGCACCCAAGCGTGGAATTGGCCCGCGGGACCCCTCCGACACCAGCGTCCAGTGAAGGTCCGACGACACGGGTAGAACACGATTCATGTCGTGACGATTTTTCGTGTCAGCATCCGTGATGACAGGGGATCCCTTTCTCCTGGTGTGAGTTTTTCTCCCCTTTGAGCAGAGGCACCACGCCTCGTGCTGCTGGGTTTTTCTTGACACAGCAGCAGTTACTGAAGAGCTCCAGGCACCGCCTATAGCCAGCGCAAGTCAAGTCATCACCACCATCATCATAAGCAGCATCATCAGCATCATCCTCAGCATTATCAGCACCACCATCACCGTCACCATCATCATCGCCACATCGCCGCCACCATCATCATAATCATAATCGTCATCAGCAACAACAACATCATCAGCACCATAATCATCAACACCATGTTTTTTGGTCCTCATCCATAGCACCATCACATCAGCATCTGCATAATCATCGTCAGCATCATCATAATCATCAACGTCATCTTCCTCATCAGCGTGATCAGCATCATCACCATCATCACTTTTTCACCATCACCATCGCCATCACCATCACCATCACCATCGCCCTCTTCGTCGCCATCGCCATCGCTGTCGCTATCGCCATCGCCATCGCCATCGACATATTCGCCATCATCGCCATCGTCACCATCACCATCATCACCACCATCACCTCCATACCGTCACCGTTACCTTCACCGTCGCCGTCACCGTCAGTGCTAGCATCACCATCACCATCGCAATCACCAGACCAACTGTGTTGCCAGACCACGGTGTCGTGCTCCAGGGGGTCGGATGTCACCATCACCACCACCATCAACATCACCTTGAATATCACCATCATCATCATCACCACCATCATCATCATGATCACCATCATCATCATCATCATAGTCACCATCTTTGTCGTCATCATCATCACCACCACCACAATCATCATCAGCAGCAGCATCAGCATCAGTATCATCATCAGCATCCGCATAAGCATCATTACCATCACCACCACCATTACCACCACCACCACCATCGCCACCACCACTATCACCATCATCATCACCATCACTATCACCATCACCATCACCATCACCATCATCACCGTCACAACCATCATGATCATCACCAGTATGATCGGTACTGGCCCCGAGATCTTGATTTTGCATTTTTTCGCATCGAGCGTTCTCGCCCCACAGATCGGCCTGGCTCAAACAGTGGCGCAGAAACATGAGCACCTGGGCTCTGGTCGTGCTTTTCGCGATGCTGCATCTTTCTCGCGACGTCGGGCCTCAGGTCCGTCACCCGTCCCTCGTCGCCGCGGCTGGATTTGTTTCGGCCCGTGGAGTGGTGGTGTGGGTACCTTGTGGTTTCCCCAGGGGCAGGGCGTCGCGCCTGCCATCTTGCGGGAGGGCTGCGTGGGGCCCAGGAGGGGAGGGGGGAGGGAGGGAGGGAGGAGGTGGGGCACGGAGGATGTGGAGGAGGGGCGGGGTGAAGCGCAGGGAGTTGGAGAGAGGAGTTCATCAAGCAGGAAAGCGGCTAGGATTCTGTCATCTGCGTTCTTGGCAGAAGCACTCGCTCTTGAATGGGGTCTTCAAGCATTCGCGTGCCTGACTTTCGAGTAAGGGGGCGATGGGAAGTTACAGGGTACAGCAAGCGTCTGCGCGCACCGCATTGCGCATCTCTAGAAAAAGAATAACAGCAGTAGTGTGGGGAGGGGGAAGGGTACAATCAGCGGAGAGTGTGTGCACCTTTCTCTCCTGAACGCTGCTCGGCGAGACGGCCCGAGTCGAGAGCTGTGAACACCGTGTGGGCTCTCGACACGCCCGAGCTTGAAC